ATATATATATATATATTACGTTATATACATAACGTAAGTATAGTTGGTGTTATTTATTTATTTAATTTATTTCCCTCGTTTTGCAATTAACGCCGTAGAGATTATAATTGAACGTTGATGTATATATATCAGATATTATGCCCGATGTTTCTCTACGTATGGTGTATTCCATAAATGTTATAAATGTTGTTGAACATCAGATGGTTTAAATGGAAGGATTAATAATTGATAATAAAATGTGCCTATGTATCCTCCGTTTTTCCCCCAAAATGCATCTAGATGTACGAAAAGTAGCGCGACTGGGAATAATGAAAAATCGTTATGGATTTCAATACAGTTAAAAAGTGCGTGTCCACGAAAATATATACAGTAAATGGTACGGAACATATATCTCTAATAAGATGTATGAAAGTTAAAATAAATGTTTGAAATGTATGAATTCTAATATCTGAGTACTATTTTATTCCTGTGAATACTTACTGACAATGAGTAACTATTGTTGTACGTTTTGTTTAGAAATATGATTCTAATTTTTAATGTAAATAGTTTTAATCTTTTTTAAAAACCAATACAATGATTATAAAGGGCATAGAAGAGTCGATTAAACAATACTGAGTGTAAAAGAATTATTAAGACATGAAATATATCACATTATTAAAATTTGAATAAGTCATTGTATTGTTTTTTTTTTAATTAAGATTTCCATTTTGTTTTATATGTTTTAATCTTTTTTATTGTCAATTGTGTTTTACTAAAACTGGATGCATATTAAGTTCTCAAACAATATTTTATCAAGGATTTAAAGACTGTTTCGATCAAGGGTCACGAGTACTACGCGATTTATTCCCATCGGCCATGCTCGGCTGGTACCAAAGATGTCGACCATTTCCTGCGAGACGAAACGTATTTCAGTTCGTTTTAACGGACGTAGAAAGGGCGGGAGACTCTCGTCTGCGGTCGACTGCGAGTCGAGTCATCCTCGTAAAGAGAGAAGCTTACGAGCGACGGCCGCCTTGGCTTATTCCGTGGTTTTATTCGTGGCGTTCTATTCGTAGGACGCGTTGAGGCTGTAAACAAGAGAAGTGGGGAAGAGTGAAGAGATCTCTCCAAAGTGTGAAGTCATTGAAGTAGGAAGAATTTTTCGTCCGGCTTTCCACCATTATCAGTACTTTCGATCGTAATCATATATTTTGCATCTCACTTTTGTCTATCGTCAAGAGGAAAAAGAAACAAAAATGTGAAAAATATCAGATATTAAAACACCTTTTTCAACATTTAACTCTTTAATGATTGCGTAGAAATAGTGGAGCGTTTGCAAAGATTCGTTTCATAAATTACTGATGACGATTCAATCAATTTTAATGAGAAACTAACGTTTGTTTTTATTTTAGGCACTTTCTGAATACTTTTAGTCTTATAGTTATTTATAGAAACAAATAATGTGGTTATATATTAAAGAAGAAAACAAGAGGAAATTACTTGTAACTGGGAAGTAGACATTTAGTATTTCCAGTCTCTTATTATACTTTGATTTCAGTTACTTATGAAGATTACTTCGTTGTCGTATATATATTGTCAAACGGCAAAATCCCCAAGACGCTTATTAAGTTCTTAGCCACGTAGTAATTTCATTCCAACGTATTTTTAGACAATATTCTATTATTTTCTATTATTTTCTATCAAATGCGATGGTACATCTTCGTGGCGTGTTATTTCCGACGGATTTCTGACTTAAAATTTGTAAAATGTATTACGCGTAAATTCAATAAATTTAAAGAAAATTGTCGGAGATCGGAAAATTGAGTGAAAAATAAATTATTTAATCTTTTCACGTTTAATTAGAATGTAAAGGCGCGTGATTTCAGAAGAATTATTCTAATTTAAATGTGATATGACTGTAATTTAGGTGTGACCTGTGTGATTTTTTATAAATAAATTAGCTGTTGCACAAAATATGTTATGGGCTAATTTAGGTGAGGCAAGTTTAAAGATTTAGCTGACACGAGGCAGCATGGGGTGACTCGCTAATAAAGGGACGCAAGAACGACGAACCGACGATGTCGCGACCAGCCAGACCGCAACTATCCATCCGTTCGTCATTTCCAACGTGCTTTAAATATTAAATAGAGCTTGCTGCGCTCGTAAAAAGGGTTATCTGTTCCCCCATGACGAAAGAGACAACAGTGTCGCTATGGTTCGTTCCTGTGCGAATGAAAGGTTTTCTATCGCATTTATGTGCGAAGACGGAATGATTCGTTCATTACTTCTGAAATTAATCTCGAATTTGTGAAAGAGTTTAAAAAAATTTATTCACATGGTATATTCTGTGGATATAAGAGGAATTCTTTCAAATGTTATTTGGTTATCCTTGATACTCGTGTTGAAACTTTTCCACGTCAAGAGAAAGGATTTAAAAACCTATCGAGCAAATTTATTTCATTTCTGAAAATATGTGTATATTTACAACGTTACAGGGTTTGACTAACTTCTCCGCTCAAGAATCGAATGATACTTTCGTGACCAGATTCTCAACTTGTTTTAACAAATAATCGAATGAAGATCCCGCTTTGCGCGCACATAACGATCCTTCGATCATTGATCAGATTTATTAATTTTATGTAATCAGATTTCGCAGAGACTCGCTAATCTCTAAGAAGTTTTTTTTTTTTTCAGTAAAGTTTATTTCATTTTGTCTCATGTTAAACATGAATGAATCAATTTCAAATACACGATCACGTATGAAACATCGAAAGACTCTCCACTTTTGTGCGCACAATGACGATTCTTCACTCATTGATTAGTCTCATTAGGAGTCTTTAATGAAATCTCCCATTACTGGGTAATTTTTCATAAATCGAAGAAGTTTTTTTTTTTAGTAAAGTTCGTTTCTCACTTCGCTTCAACGTGAACGAGTCAATAATTTTTACTTTCATACTTTATACGCGACGCACTACGAGAAATCATATCGGATATCATTCACCTGGGTTCTTACATACGCATTAATTCGCGTAACTGCGGATGACCCGAAGAAATATTGCTATTCATACAGCATTTATCTTACGCACGTCTTTCTTCTGGAAAGTACTCGGTACAGATGTCCTGCTGTCTTTGTTACACTAATTAGAGCACTAATTCGAAATTACATTGCCACACTCGGAAATTTGCGCATTGTAAGTCGCACACACGATATGTCGCATAATTTCAATTATTATATTATAACACAGATCTCTTCTTTTTAGTACGGTCTCCATACGTCGTTTCTTTGCTCGCTTTCCTCGCCAAGTACGCCGATTTCTCGGATACTACTGATGGTAAGATTGCCACCGGCTATAGTGACCTGTTCGTCACTCAGATCGCCGTGCAGATGCAAATGAATCTGGTTTTGATTGACGGTGCTGTATAGCTGAGGATAGAGGACCATCGGTGTCGGACCTGTGATGTAATTCTGACTCGGATTGTTGTAGTAGCCTTGATAATTGGGATTGTAATTGTGGGAAGCCACTGGGACCGGGGTCGCCGGACCAGGTGTCCAGGAACTGTAATGGTAACCCGGGCTACCCGCACTGCCCGTGCCACTACTGGCAAAAATGTCAGGGTCGCTGGGTCTGGTCGGCACCAAGGGCAAGGACGTGGTCGGCGAGGTGCCATGTCCTGAGTACATGGACACGCAATTCGGCGTGTAGGTATCCTGTTGAGTTTCCGAAGGAAGTACTGCGAACAGAAAACAATGTTCCGATTTGCAAATTGTCCGATATAATCGTGAAAACAATTACAAAGTCTTTACAGTAAAATTTCGTTTATTATAAAGGATATTTATAACAGACAAATTGCGCAAATAAAAACATTGAATAATTTGTGACGTTTGTAAATTTTTAGAAGATGTTAATTATTACATGGAAAAAACGGTTTTGCTGAAGTATTTGAAATAATTATGCTGAACTGTCGAAAGAATTATGCCAAAAATTAAAAATTGATGAGGAGTTGTTGCAAAAAGTTTTGATATTCTAACAACCAATTGAAATTTCCAACCAAATTATTTTGACGGTCTGCTACAAAATTAGTTTCAGATTTGTTTTCAGTAAAATATTAGATCCTTCAGCAAAATCGTTTCTTCTAGTAATTAAAATCTACCAAAAATCTTTTTTGTGTGTATAACTTGCTCTGTTTCATCAAGAATCACTTCTATTTCTGTAAATATAATTGACGATAAGGTGATTTATACTCTGCGGAGAGTTTCCACATCTGAAAAATCGATTATCTATAATATAGTTTCTAAAATAGATACAAATGATATACCTTCGAGATAACGTGTTACGAAACTTTTTCCCGGAACGAGTTATGCGTCAGAATGTATTAAATCGTCGTAGGTGACTCTTAATTAGCAATGCGTCGGCGAATCACATTGCTGGATCAGCGACGTAAATGAATTCAAGTTTTTTGATTACTTTATGTATTAATGAATCGTACCGGTTGGCAATGGCACCGGTTCCGTTGTTGGATGATGTGACAATGATTCCCCTGGGTATGAAAACGCACCGCCAGGTAAAGGAGAATAGGAACCACTGCTACTGACTGGAGGAGCCGGATAAGACGGCGCTGTGGATGGGTAAGCCCATTCTGTAGTACCAATACCCGTGTCTATAACAGAAAATGTTATTTGATTAATTCATTAAAATTGATTATTTGATTAATCGATCAATTTTCTTTACGAATAAGACCAATGACATAAATAATTTGCAAAACAAGATTTTATATTTTATCTTCACATTTTAATTCAAAATAAATTCTTAATGCAATAAATATGTTTAAAAGAAATCATATATATAGTATCTGTATATTAAATTTTAATTTAAATAAATTCCGTATGTAATCCGTCAGAAACTAAAGAACTGAATCGTCTTATGACAATGTACTGTAAAACGTGCTTCTTAAAATGCGCAGCAAATCGTATGAGTCGGTAACGGAGTTTCGAGTGAGTAACATAGGCAGATTAATTGATATGAGTCACAAATCGAAGTAGGCGCGACGGAAACTTAAACGCTGGAAGTGAATGTATGTGCATCGAACGTATATCTCGTATGAAAGAAACGAGTAGCATCGCGTCGTGAGATCAAGATCATTAAGTAAAGCAACGATTGCGTAACAAGTGCTAGTAAAAATGTAAATATACGATAGGATGATTCGTAATTTTCAAATCATATCGTCTTCCTGGATTCTTTCCACATAAATGAATTTCCTCGTGATTCAAATATGATAATATTATTAAATATTTAATAATTCTAGTTCCGGCGGAAGTCATTTTATTAATTTTTATAATTGCAATCTCACTTCCACGAAAGAAGTCAAGTCATCTTTCTCTGTAGCTCTGTATTTATTGGAAGTAATATTACTGGTATTATGGCTATTGTTGGGACATACCATCATAAGTATTGGGATTTCTGAAGTATCATGTATC